TTCGTTTTCTGTTTTAAGCGTTCTTTTAATAAAATTAAATCGTAGAATAAAATTAAAATAAAACTGGTTACAAAATATTCTACAGTAACAGTGGGTTTGTTCCCCGACACGGACCTTCTGGAATCCGCTCCAAACTGTTCTGACGATGCCGTTCGAAAATAAACTCAAAGTTCAATCGATATTCATTTGAAGAGAAGACTGGAGATCTTTTTCCCTTCTCTTTTTGTTATAAATAAACTATTTTGTGTAGAATTCAAATGTTTCTAAAGCAAACTTTCCATTTTGATGCAAAATATTTTCTAACCCTGCACCGACAATATTTTTGTCACTTTTAAATCAAAATAAAATTTCATATAAAATATACATTTAGAAACTGAGAATTTGATCGGTGCATTTAAAGTTCAAACGACATTCAGTAGGAATGCTCTTTAAGTTTGTAAAGAGCTTGAAATATGTTTTACTATTCTTTTAAGATTTTGGCTTTTTCATTGTAGTTTAATTTTCTGAAAGAAATATTTAAAATATTTATAATGAAAGAGTTATTATTAAATAAAAAATAATGACTCCACGGGAAAATGATGGATTCGGTACTTGCATCTCAAGAAAAAGAAGATCACCCACACATGTGACCTGTAACATCAGTGCCAGCTGATCGTTTGTATGGAAAATGGCGTGTTAAAATTGAGCTAAACTTTTCCACACAAGTGAAAGTATTTTAAGTAAAGTGAAGTTAATTATATCGCACATCGAATATGTGAAAGATAATTCTTTCTCGTCTACATCTTTTATTTAACTTGAATTTATTATTTGTTTATGTATTTTAATGTAGCCATGATATATTTTTGTGTTGTGTACCTGGCAACTTCGATGCAAAATTAGTTTGTTTATGTTTTACATTGCTGCGTGCCGGTTTTTGTTTTAAGTCAGATGAATAAAGTGAAAGAATTGATATATTTGTGAAGAAATCTTTGTGAAAGAATATAGTATGTGTCACTTGAGAGAATTGTTACTTGATGGGCTTGACTTACTCAAACTAGAAGGGAAAGAATAGTTTCTAACGTAAACAAATCCCACGTTTCAACAGCCAATCAGGATAGATGTATCCGCACTACGTCACTTGCAGGTATCCCATTAAATCATTCGAAAAATCAACATTTAAACGCATAACAACACTTAACCGTCACACGATTGACTTCTGAAAAGTTAAAGAAATTTAAAGTGGAAATTAGGGATCCAGAAACTCTGTGTCCAGACCCAATCAGTTTGTTTACTTGTAATGGGATACCTGCAAGTGACGTAATGCCGGTATCTCTAACCTGACTGGTTGTTGAAACGTGGCATTTGTTTACGTTATCAGCTGTTCTTTCCATTCTTTTTCAAGCAAGTCAAATATCATTTTTATCAATATGAATGAAACATTCTATATTCTTTCACGAAGATTTTCATACTTTCACTATATATTTTTCACTGAACACAAAGACAGACACAAAGCAATGTAGAACATAAACTAATTATGCATCGAAGTTGTCAGGTACACGAAAAAAAATATATCATGGTTACAATAAAATATATAAATAATAAATCTATGTTAAGTAAAAGACGCAGACGAGAAAGAATTATATTTCAATAAATTCGATGTGTGATACGGCATTGTATTTAACTAACTTCACGTTAATTAATATCCTAACTTATGTGGAGAAAATTATCTTAACTTTAACACGCCATTTTGCTTATACGCGATCAGGTGAAGTCATAAGTAATGTCAGTGAATATCCGCGATTCTCTTTTTCTTGAAGGGCAAGTACACCCAATCGAAATTTTATTTTATGATTTTCTAATATCAAACGTACTTTTATTCCTGTTGAATAAGATTTAAATAAGGCTATTTTGCAAGAAAATATACCAACAAAAATCTGTTACGCAATAACTAAAATTTAAGTTTCATCGTTTTCTATATTTAAGTGTTCTTTTACTGTTGAAAAATTAAAAAAGACTGTTTGATAGCATAATATTCTACACGTATAAGTCTGTTTGCTGTTTAATAATTTAAATTTAATTTTAATCATTTTCAAGTTTTAAGTGCTCGATTTTGTGGCCGAATAAAACAAAATTATGACATTATGGTAACAACTACTCCGATACTATATCGATTGTCTATTTTTTAATCAACTTTCGAAATTTAATGTTACCATTTTCTAATTTTAAGTGTTCAGTTTTTGAGGAAAAAAATTAAAATAAGACATTTTAGTAAATATTCGACAGCAAGTTTGTTATTCATTCAACATTTTTTTTTCTTAAAAACACAAATTCGTCCTTTTTTTTAATACACTGAGAAAAAAAAAGTATGTTAAAAAATACCAGAATCTAGTAAAATTTACCGTGTTTTTGGCTCTATAGGAACAACAAAAATCTCACTAATTTTAATCGAAGCGCTTTGGTAACAATTTTGGTATAATTAGTCATGAAATATATTTTCACAATATGTGATGAAATTTGGTAATTTCAAAATGATACTTAGAGCACGGCATGAAAACCATTTATACGGTTGAATTTATTTAACAGTTTTGTATTTTTTGTAAAATATATGGTAATAAGAACTATAATTTTGAAAACCAGAATTTTCGGTTAACCATTATGGTATGAACGGGGTGAAAAACCAAGTAAAATGATGTATGTGTTGATTTTATTAACCAAAATAATGATTTCTTTTCACCAGAAATGTTATTACCATACTGCATCGTATTTTTACCAGAATATTTTTCTTCGTGCACTTTTACATTACAAGATCAAGAAACTTAAGTGGAGTATCATTTCACTTTTAGAATAATTTTGTGACTTAGAACTTAATTTTCTCAATGTTTTATTTTAAAATCGTGTTCGATGAATGAATGCTAGATCCAGAAAGGTAGTTGCTCTTATTTGGAGGTATGCCAAATGCTTTTTCCTCTTTCTGACTAAACATTGATTTTAGGTTCTATTTCTTTTCTATCTCCCCAAAACAATTTTCACAATCGTCTAATTTGCGCCTAAATTATTTATAGATGCGCTACCGTAAAAATTGCATAGAAATAAATATTAAAAGATTGAACCCTTTTAAAGTATGAGGAGGCAAATAATATTTCGCCTATTTTTATCATTTACTTCAAATATTTCATATTTATTAATTTTCTTTAAAAAAAAAATTTTTCTCAGTTTCAAAATTTCAATTCTTTGTTTGAAAGGTGTTTGAAAATAGTTTTTAATTTTCGAGAGAGAATTTATCTGCGGTTGAGAAAAATTAAAAGAAATTTTTAGCTTTGATAAATATTTTCATTTTTTAAACTGAATTTTAAGTCTCCAATCCTTAAATTTAAATGGAGGAAGTGATAGTAATACTAGAACAGAGAAAACTGAGGAAAACAAAATCAATCGAAAATGCTTCTTTCGATATTTTCTTTAACTTAACAGAATATTATTGTCTCAATTCAGTATTATAAATGAACTAGCCGTTTTTTAAACAGCTTGATCGGCTTTTAAAATTATTTTGTGCAACTTATAAAATTAAATGGCAAGCAAACTAGATGCACAACACAACAGTATTTAAATATTCTGATTCTTCAACTCCTCTAATCCTATAACACCTTAATTATTTTTGAACAATACACTAATCAAAGTTTTTCTCCGTCTAGCTCTTGCCTGAAATTTTGCTCGCGCGGAAGTACGTTTATTTCAATTTAACTATTTTCAAGAGATGTCCATGATAAGATCTTTATGTATTGATTTTTTTTCACTTAGCCTTGTTTAATACACCAGTTTTTAAAACTTTGCAACTTTTATAAATTATTTTAATACTATTATAAGCTACGCCCTAGCCGAGATAGCCTCCTTGGCAGGGCGATGGACTCGAGTTTGTGAGAACGGGAGTTCAAATCCAGCCGGTCGACGATTCCCCGTGTAGTAAGTGATGACTGGTGCACGCTAAATCTGTCGGGTAGGAAAGTCCTCCATATTCCCATAATAAAGCAATGCCTCTGGGGGTACTGAATTGGAGATTGATCGTTCTCTGGTGCAGGTCAAAATTACGATCTGTGGATGAATAAATGACTGTATGAATGGGTCCGCCCTATAAACGGTCGTGACGTATGGGTGTGGCAGAAGTCGAATTCTTGGCCATAGATGGCACCACCGGAAAAAAAGGAACAATCAAACCCCCTGCATCCCCATTGACGACAACAACAACAACAGCTACGCTCTCTCCTCGTTATCCCTATATATCTGAACATATATTGATCCCATGTGTTCACTATGGAACCATTACCTAATTGAACAACAAACAAATCAAGATATTGCAGTGGAATTGATTTTCATTCTCAAGGAAACACTACTTAATAATTTAATGGCTCCAAATTAGATTCTTAGATAATCATTAAAAAAAAAATTTCAACTTGAGAAATTATTAGCAATTTTATGCTTTAAAAAAATAATAATAATAATAAACATTTTCGGTAAGAGCTATCTAGAAATACATGTGTATATTAGACAATTTATTGCCCAAACACAGAAACTTTCTTATTTTCTTTTTCCAAAATAATAGTTTAAGTACTGAGCAAAGAAAACAAGTCTTTTCCGAATTTTTTTTTCTTTGCTTTGTAGTTTAAAACGCAATGTAGTTGCTTTCCTGCTGTATCTATGTTTTTTCTCCTCCAATAATATTTTTATATTTCGATGGAAAAAAGTAATTCCTAACAAGTGTGGATTGTATTTAATAAAAATAAGATATCAATTTATTTATGAAAAAAAAGTGTCTTTAACCCTTTTTTCTTAGAAATCCATATAACTTTCTTTAAAAACAGCACTTTAATGCCAGCGTTCAATATATAGTTTAAAATTTTTATATTTTGTTATTACATTTTTTAAACATTTTAAATGAGTTCATTAATTGAGTATAAACTATTCATAATTTGTCTCAATTAATTTATTCATTATTAAAGAAGCATCTATAATTTCTTCTGCTTTTTCAGGTACTGCTTCAGCCACATCCAGAAGATCTCAGGTTAGTTTTTATTCCATTGTATATTTATTTTATATTCCCTGCATTAAATATATATCTCTACAAAATGTTTTAAAACAAAGTGCGCAAAATAAAAAGGTCAAAGCAAGCGTACTAAAATAAATCGATAATCTCGCGCTAAAAACACTAGAGAACGTTTCAATGAAAACACAAGGACCTATCTGTATATGGGTGATTCTTTGGAAGCATGACAATCGGAAAAAAGAGATTCTTCAAATTCTTTGTATATTTATTTAGCTACATTTATTAATATCTTACAGACAGCAGTGTAGTTTATTAACATTTGCACAAGAACAAAAAAAAAATAGAAATTCACCAAATTTTGAATGCCAGGAAAATTACATATTAGCTTAGAAGTTAAGAAAACAGTCATTTTAACGAAGTTAATAGTAAGTAACTCAACTTAAGAAACTCTAAAAAGACAAAGTTGATAAGTTAATTTCAAATTTTTATGTAAATAAATTCCAAAACTAATTATTGTGAACAATTTTAACAAATTAGTTAAGTATAATGAAAGTGAGAGAGTAACACACACAATGAGTACTTTTGTGTGTGTTACTCTAATATTACAATGAGCACACAATGAGTAATATGAGATACTTTTTAATTTTACTACACTTTAATTTGAAAAGAAACAGTTAAAACAGCGAAAACAAAATAATTTTGTAAAATTTCATTAATCTTGAAGCTTTTAGAAGAAGCAAAATGCCTGGAAGATATTGGGTAAGGAGCAGACATTTTTAAATTTGTGATGTTCTAAGAAATTTTGACGCAGTCTTTTTTCCCTGGCCACTTAAAGTGATTAGCAGTCTGTTTGCCAGCACGAATAATAAAGTTAACTTTAATATCTTTATGAACGACTTCAAAAACTTCTCTTACAATAAAAATGATAATCTTAGAAATTTTTTAATTAATTTTATAAAAATTTACATTAAAATTAATTACATAATAATTTACATCGGAAATTTTTTTTATAACATTATTTCAAAATAAAATGTTTCAAATCATTTTATTTTACAACTTTATTACGTTGCTTAATTTATGCACCCAAACAGCGTTTAAGGACTGTATAGTTTTTAAACGCTGTCATTAAATTGTACAGTGATGTTCTTTATTTGTAGTATATTACAATGATGTTCTATATTTAAGAAAAAAATAACCTTAACGCCTTTTCGTTAGATGGACCATGATTTGTTTAAATTAATTCTTTCATCCACTGTACAAAGAATCAAAAATGTTTTTGTTGTTGATATGTACGGAATAAAATAGTGTGTATAATAATCAATCATTAAATAAATAAATGACTTTTATTACATGCGAGCTCATTATAATCTTTCATAAACTGGGTGTTAGGTTAATATTTGCTCTCCCTCTTTACATTATAGTGTTTAAAAAATTTTCTTATAACTGTGTTAATGTCCTGGAATTTATAAGCCAATTGTGACATGACAATTGATATGACAATTTTGCCATTTTACAGCATTTAACATTACTTTAATTTAACATTTCGGCTTAAGACGTTTACTTTCCGCAGAAAACATCAGGATTTCTTGAAATAACTAAGGTAAATGTAAATAGTTTATGTCATTAATGATTTCAAGAGAACAGGTGCCGACCGGCCTGTAGGGAACTGTCCTTGCATCAGAAAGGTCCTGGGTTCGAATCCCGGGCAAGGCATGGATGTTTCTTTCTCTCTCTGTGTGCTCTATGTCCTTTCTCTTTTGTGTGTGAATGTAACCCGCCCAATAAACGGGTTGTGGTTGTGTGAATGGCGTGGCAGAAGTCGAATTCCTGGCCATAGATGGCGCCACTGAAAAACAGGAACAATCGCACCCCCACTGCCTAAAACNATGGAACAAATTTTGATTTATGTAGGAGTTTTCTAAACACTGGTACTCAAGAGCAAATTTTTTTATAGATGCGAAACAGACATTTGAATGAAATATTTTTAAATAAAATTGCAATAATATGAATTTAATAAAATAAATTTTTATTTATACCACTCAGTTTTCGTTTTAATTTAACATATGAAAACTCTTTTTCAAAAGCATTATACACGTCAATAGGAAATTAAAGGGCCGAGATTGCCTGGTTGGTAGGGCATTGGGCCTATGTCGAAGAGGTCGTGAGTTCGATCCCAGCCAGACGAAGACTAAAGGTGACTGGTGCACGTTAAATCTACTGGGTCACGAACGCCTCCTAGTTCCCATTTTTAAAAAAAAAATTATCTCTGAGGGTACTGAGTTGGAGTTTGATCGTTCTCTGGTTCAGATCGAAGTTATGATCTGTAGATGAATGAATGTATGATGTATGAGTGGGTCCGCCCTTTAAAGCGGGATGTGACGTGTGTGTGTGGTTGAAAACGTATTCTTGGTCAAGGATGGTGCTATGGAAAAAAAGAAACATGCCCTCTGCCTTAAATTCGTTTGGTTTCACCAAGCAGGCTCGCTGGTATTTAGCAAGTGGGATTAGAAATAACAACAATAAGAAATTATTTCAACGTGAAAGGATATTAATTTTTTGGAAAACATTTATTGACGCAAAATAAATTGTAAATTTTATTTTTAAAGGTTACGAAAAATGGTGAACCGGAAAAAGCAGGATCAAGATCTGCCTCTTCATCTACGACCAGATCATCTACTGCCACTGCCGATAAAAGTTAGTGAAGTGTTTAATATGTCTAGAATTCTTTTTCTAGGGTGCAATTTGTTTTTAATACGTTTCACACATAAATATCATAATAATGTCATTTGTTTTCCACATATTTTATAAATACATTAAGTTTCATAAATATTTATTCTATAAAAGTGAAACCCTCGAATGCATCGACGTAAAAAATATAATCATATCATTTAGATTTCTTATTCACTAACTGTACATAGAGTGATTATAAGAAAACTTTGCGAACTCTGGTCAGCATACCGTTTGAAGAAACCTGACAAAATTTGGTACTTAGCTATTGTAATCTATGCGCTTAAGAATGATATTAAAAACGGTTCCATAAATCTTAAGGTTGCAGTAACAGAGACAAAATATCGAAATTTTTAAATTTCAAACTAATATATATATTTTTTTGATGGAACGTAATCTTTATAGAAAAGAACATAAAATGTAGAGTTGGAATGATATTTTTAGCTCAAGAAATTTCTACACTAAGCTTTTGTCAAGCTTTGCCATTTTTCGAGGCAACTAACGAGAAGAGTGTGTGCTAAAAACTTTTACAAACAGAGAAAAAATTACAAAGAAAGCCTTTAATGATTTAAAATTATTTGACATGCTCTATATATCCATATAGTTTCTTCTTTTCCTTAGAGAAAAAAATTACAAAGAATGCTGTTAATGTTTTAAAAATATTTGACATGCCCGTCATATCCATAGCTTCTCATTATCTCACTCTCTTTTCGTTAGGGGTCACGAAAATTGGCGAAGCTTGGCAAAAAGTCTAGGGTCACAATTTCTTGTGCTAAAAATATCGTTCCAACTCCATCTTAGGTTTTTTACTATAAAGATTACGTTTCTGTCAAAAACAGTGGGTGTTGCCATTTGAAGATTTCGAAATTTTGTCTCTGCAACCGTTAAAGCTACGCAACCATTTTTAGCATCATTCTTGAGCGCATAAATCATAATCCTTATGTACAAAATTTATTTCGTTCACTGAAACCATGTGCTCTACAGAGGGCAAAGTTGTTTCATCAACACCCTGCATGCATTATGTGTAGATTAAAGAGGTTTAGAACTTTCAAATAGCATCCCGCAAGTTTCTTTAACTATATTCTGCGCAAGTTCTGAAGTAACTTAGGTGACGTACGGTGCGCTAAAAAATGGGACACCCTAAATAATTTTTGATCTAATGATCGGATTTTCATGTTCTAGGACTCGAGGTAAATTGAATTTCAAAAAAGTCAGATACTTAAAACTCGATTTCTCGGGAACTATTCGATCGATTTCGCTCAAATTATGTATTTTGCTTTGTAAAATAACATTCTTCAAAATCACGCAAAAAATTTTATACCTTTAATAATTTTTCGGTCATTCTTAAATGAAATAATAAATATTTACTAAAAGTTTTTTTTGCAAGGAATTACCTTTGGATAAACGAGTTTTATAATTGTGTATAAAAAAAAATTTAAATCCGCTTAAAAAGGTCTTGAGATATATCAAAGTATGCAAAAAGTAAAATTAACATTAAGGAGTCCGAACTTTGGAGGGCCTGGCTAAACTATTGGGACCATATTTCCCAGATGGCGGCTGCCCCCTATATTTTGGGGATCAGAAATCCGACTCCATCAAAAAAAAATTGCATGTTTATTCAGAGAAAGTACGTTTTTGTGCCTGATTTCATAAATTAATATATCGTCTGCACTTATTAATTGACGTATTTGAGGTTATTCCCTTGAATTATTTAGATTGAGTCCTAGAACGTGAAAATCCAATCATTAGATCAAAAGTTATTCAAAGTTGTCCGGATTCTTTTTCCTTCCGCTCTGTAGATGAACCTGCGGGATGATGCGTGAAAGTGCTAAATCTCTCTATCAAAATATGTTCTGTGCTCGTATTGTTATGCTGTGTAAGTAAGTTGTGTTGTGCTGTAGTAGTTTGTTGTGCTGTTCGTGTACTGCGCAAAAGAACTAACTGTCTGTATTAGAATGAATATACACTCCTCAAAAGTGAAATTGCAACACCAAGAAATAATGCACGTAGCGTCATGCAAACTTCAGGAGCGATAGTAGTGAGATGGATATGCAAATNAGTGCCTTTGTATTTTAATTTTTCTAATTAAAAAAACTAAGAATTTACAAATAAAATTATGTTTGGTAATATTTAAAATATATTGTGGGTATTGAACTTATTTAATTCTAAGACACCTGTTTTGTATAAATACCAAAAATTTTGTTTTAAATAAATTTTTATCTTATTTTAAGAATTGTCTAGTTTCTATACTTACAGCAAGGTTCCACATATAGTTCGATGCAGAGTTATCTAGTGATAAAATTTCAATGTTATAACTAGGAAACTATGACTAAACTATATTCAAAACTGTAACTTACAAGGGAAACTAGGATAAATNAACGAATGTTGCCCCCTAAAATTATTCTTCATAAGGCATACATCCTACTAGTTTATTTCAAAATTGACGAGTCACACTTCCCTAGTTTCCCTTGTTAGATATAAATAAACACTACATAAATAACACGAAAAATATTGAATTAGCTACTTTTAGTTTCATATATCTACGATATATAAGCAGTGTTTTTCAACTCACTCTTATAATATTATATAACATCTCAATATTTTGAATTTTCTAATTTTCATTTTAAAAAAAAAGGTTGAAAAGAAAAGATAATTAAATTTTTTTTATCGTATTTATCTGTTTCCTGAATGAATTTCTTTTAAAAAGATATTCCCAATTTTATTTACAATTTAAATTTTTTTTAAAAATGAGACTAGTATCTTTCTCTTGGTTATTTATACTTCAATTACAGAAACATTTCTTACCGTAGCTCAAGCGAAATTAAAATCAGCATAACTATTGAATTGCCTTTATTATTCTATACCTCTAATCGCGGTCGCTGCACAAGTTTGTGTTCTTGTATCTAACATAGCTAGGGAATTACGACAATGAGCTTCATTTAACGTTATTTTTGCTTATGATAGTTGAATAGTTAAGATTAATTACAAAAGCAAGAAAAAAAACTACATACCTATAATTTTGAGATTCCATTGATAAAAGGTACCTTGTGAATCATTCCACTTAAAATCTTAAAGAAAATTTTTGTTGTTTCGTATTATTACTTCAAATTTTGGGTCTCAGCCAATCACAGAAAACATTACCCATATGCAATAACTCTCTAACATTTTTAGTATATGAACTAATAAAATTATTGTACTAACAAGTTCAGCGGCGAGCCACAAATTATTTAATCATGAATAATTCCAACCACTTTCTTTCATTTGAAAAAGAAAAAACATCTTTAGCAGCATTTCACTAGACAATTTTTTCAGATTTCGTAAAAAACAGATTTCAATGTAGTCTTAACGTATTTATTGAATTCCGCCATTATATATTTCCCGACAGATTAACACAGTTAAGGAAAATAGTAAAAGGATCTTTAAACTATAATCTGATGTAAGAAACAAAAATAATAAGTTAGATACATAAAGCTTTTTTGGTGCTATTAATAATCACCAATAACAGTAATGAAATAGGAAAGCAAAATTCATTTCTTTGCGAAATTTTTATGTTTATATTAGCTTCTCAAGTTATTCTTTATTTTATGTACGTTTTTTCAAATAAAATTGAAATGTTCTAATTTTCACAAGGTGATCTGTGATGATCATTCTAACATATATTTTTTAGAATCATAATTAAATATTATGTTAAAAATGTATAACGGTCATAAATTCATATTTAAGCATGGGGGAAAAAAGGCTAGCTAAATCTATAAAAACACTTGTATAACTGGTGCGTTAATAAACATCAAAATCAGTTTGATTTGTCGATGAATTTGGTGGTGTTTTGTCTTTCTTCCGGCAACAAAACAGATTTAGTTGTTTTCAGTCCCACCTTCCTCAGTAATGATTCGTTAGCGGGTTTTTTCCCTCTCCACTTTGTGACCCACATTGTGTATACTATTTTGATAAGGATTCTAATAATGGCCATTACGTAATACCTATGTTTTTTTTATATTGAAAGTTATTATTTAATCCTTTTTCATCTATTTCAGAGCTTCCTCCAATAAAGGCGCCTGTTTGGAATGCTCCACCTCCTAAAGTTAAGGAAGTGAAATCAAAAATAGGCTCATTCGATAATGTCACTCACAAGCCAAAAGGTGGAGAGAAAAAAGTAACTACTTCAACATTTTTAACATGTTTTTTGTACATTTAAATAATAAATCTATACATAAAGTGTAAAACTCAAATAACTCGTTGAAAACTTCGACAGTCAAGTAGGTGAAGGTTGCCTTGGACCACTCAATTTTGTCTATCGATTTAAACTACAAATTTAGCAGTTTTAAGATTTTGTACAGTGCACAAAAGAAAGGAAAGGGAAAAAAGGAACATTGTGAATAACTTTTGATCTAATGATTGGATTTTCACCCAATGCGTCTCAAACTTAATGGTACATGGGAGGAACTTCAAATATGCTCATTAATTTGCGTAGACGATATTTTAAGTTAGAAAATCAATCACAAAACGTGCTTTCTCTGAATAAACATACCTTTTATGTATATACGGATTTGAATTCCTGTTCCTCAAAATACAAGGTGTACCCGTAATCTGGAAAATATGTTCATAATAGTTTAGTTAGGAGAACGGTCGAAAGTTGGGACACCTTAACAATACTAATTATATTGTTTGCATATTTCGCCATATTTTGAGATTTTTTTAACCGAAAAAAGTTTTTGCACACAGTAATGAAATTTGTTTATAGAAAGATAATTTCATGCAAAAAATAATTTTCATAAAAATTATTTATTAATTTTTGTTATTTTATTGAACAATAGTATAAAAAATTTTGAATTTTAATTATACGCTTGTTTACATAATTTTAACGTATGTAATTTAATATGGAAAAATAAAAAATTCGATAGGAATTGGTCGAATAGTTCCTGAGAAATCGAATTTTAAATGCACTTTTTTAAACTGACTCGCATCTTTGGGCCGGAAAGTTTCTATGAATGAGCAGGCAGCTATTTTCTGAACGTGAGTGATCCGGGTTACTCCATTTTTTCGAGCAAATTTTTTTAAAGCATCGAGATTTTCACTGTGAGTACATTGATAAAGAAATTAATTCGATGATTATCTGATTCAGATTTAATTACTCGTGATATGCTTTAATTTGTACATTTTGTTACAACAAAGTAAACAATCATTGCTAATATGGCTAAAAAGCACTGATTAAACACAATTTTAAGTATTAGTACTAACAAATAAAACATTGTTAGCGTCTCACAGATATCCATAATGTATTTGCATGGAAAAATTAGAAGAAAAGTATAAAGGTTAGAACTTTTAATTTTTTTTTGTGCAGAAAATAATACGTTTTTTCTTTAGTCTTGTTAGCGATAAAATAAGGAAGTAAAAATATTCCACCAAATATTGTTTTTTATTCTTTTTTTATGTGAAAAAATTATTTATTGTTTAATATAAAAACAAATATGTTAAAAAATTGAATTGTTCAAATGTGCCAAATACGTATTTTAATTTATTCTAGTACAGTAATGCTACGCATATTATTCTATTTAAAGCAGTCCTATTTATGCAAGAACATCACAAAGTATTAAGCTTATATTTATTTTTCTGCATAAATAGCAAAATGTTTCATTCAAATTATTACATTAATTCTGCTACAAGCAATCAACGTTGCTATTTGTGCTAAGAACATTACAGTGCATGAAGCTCATGTTTTCTTTGTTTACATTATTCTTTGTTTACAAATATTTCATACAAAGTATTAAAGTTTATGTGTTTGTCATGCTTCTGAAATACGAATGTTCCTTAATACTGTTACATGCAAATTAAGCAGAGCTATTTATTATTATTATTATAATATTACTATATAATTAAAGTCAGAATCATGTTTATATATCTAATAGTTAAATATATGCTCTAATGTCTAATATTAAAGTAACAAGCAGATACATGATTCATTATTTTACAGGATTGTTAAACTGAGAGAAATAAGTTAACTCAATGTATGGAGCATAATTAGTAACTTTATGTATTTATTCATATTATTTATTCGTGCTCATAATAATATTCAAATTTATATAAAATAGTAGAAAATATAAAAAGAACTCTATTTTCTCACAGGACATTTTTTTATTAAATTAAAAATGATTGTTCTTTGACCAGGCGATAAAAAAAGTGTCGTGATAATTTGCGTTAAAATGTCGGAAAAAAAGTGAACATCTTTTTTTTAAATATATGTGAGGTCATTTGAAAATGGCTTATCGTCATATCATATTGCCTACCCTCCAACATTTGAGATTTGTGTGAAATATTTTTTTAATTGGTAGGAATCTAGAGCAGAAATTTTTAAAACAAATAGAATTTTCATAGACTTTTTATCAAAACTTGAGAATAGAGAATATTGAATCTGAAATTTTAAAAATACGTTAAAATGTTTATACTAAGTAGTGGATAAAATTCTTTTAATTTTTTACTTTAATACTTGATTAAATTTGCTACCAGTCAGAAAAATATTTTCTGAATCTTTGGAAATTTCGATGCAGTAAAAGTGGCTAGTATTAAATGCGTCAAAATGGAGGAACAAAGATAAAATTTATGTGCGACGTCATTTTAACACATCTATTAGTCGCATTGTAGTAACTGTGTAAAAATGGCAAAACGGAGAGAAAATTAGTTAAAAAATGTAAATGTCTTACGACATTTTAACACAACTTATTCTCCTCTTGTACAAGTTGCTGAGAGAAAACAGAGTGGCAATTTGAAAAAATTTGTTTAAAAAAAAAATTAGGTTTAGCAAAGACGTGACGCATCTTAACACAGAAATTTCATACCTACGCCTACATTACACAAAGCTCTGGATCAAATTAAGGCAAAATTTTACGGAGCAAAAAATCTTACACTTCGTACTTTTCACAGCAATATTTTTAGTAAAAATACTGAATCACTGTAGTTAAATAAATATTACTGCAAGGATTCTGAACTCAGGGTGCCAGTACTTTTTTACGTAATTTGATCCGGTATTTTTTTACTGTGTAGGCCTGTAACAGTAGAGCATAAATAAGAATTTATAGACCTTAATTTCTCTAAATCTTTTACTCAACATTAAATTCAGTTTAAAATTTCTTTTTCTTCTTTTCAGGTTGAATCAGTGAAATTAGAATGGAATGCAAAGTCTAAGGTTGGTTCTCTGGAACATGCAACGCATAAACCTGGCGGAGGTGACAAAAAAATCATGTCGCAAAAGTTAGATTTTAAAAATGTTCAGTCAAAAGTTGGTTCAAAAGATAATCTGAAGCACAAACCAGGAGGCGGGACAGTAAAGGTAACTTCGAACACTGAATTTAAAATTATCCCAAAACAGACAAACCAGCAACACCTTAAAAATGTATTGTTTTACTTGTATGTCAATCATCTAGAATCGGGTGCCGGTGGGTGTATAACCTATTTGGCAGCTGAGTCGTAGCATTTGTTTATACCACGATTCAGCCGCTAATCTGGTTCGATACTCACGCGTGGCATCGCTCGCCATGTAAATCTGATCCAACAATAAATTCAGAGTAACAAACCAAATAATAATAAATGGTAATAAACCAAACCTACTGTAACGTAACACGGCATCTTGTTAATACACAACCAGCTGATTTCTTCCCGAGTTGCAGTTACCCAATTCAAATGGTGGAGTTACCTCTGTCCAAGCTTAAAAGCAATAATATTAATATTTCACGTAGATGATATTTGTAATAAGACGATGCGTTTAGAAAACTGTGGACAATAAGCTTCTTTTGTTCAAATTTTGTAGGTCATTTTAATTATATTCAAGTTTAATAAAATTTATTACATTCACATTAAATAGTGCAGTTACAAAACCTTATAACTATGCTCTACAAATTCATATTGAAGTGAGAAAAAAAGCTTCCTTTACATAGCGATTACAGTATATTTCCTCTAAATGAAATAATTTTTGAGGATTTTAATTTCACCTTTGCTCTTTCCATTTGAAACAATATTTTTCCACTTAAATTAAACACTATTTGCGATTTTGAAGGGAAGTTTTTTTTTATTTGATTTTTTTACAAGTCTAAATACATACATTAAGAGTATTAATTTAATTAATATGACAAAACACAAAGTATACCTTATTCGTGCATAGAAGCGTTCCTTAAAACCTATTCATTACAAAAATGACTGGGAAATTCTTTCCATGGAAAATTTTCTTCAGATAAGTCTGCTTCTGAACTATCATCAGGAAATATCTCATATAAATAGGAGATTAGTTAAAATTTATCAAACTCTTCTCTGTTGCTAGGCAACAGTGAATAGTTTAGAAAGATTTTCTTTGAAGATTGGAAACTCTAAGGAAGCTTTTTCCTGAACACTAGAGAGTGTTTTATCATAAATGAAAGTATCTAGCTTTCACAAAATGTAGATATTGTTCTACTTAAAATAAATTTCTAAGTACCTTGAGATTTTTTTAGCTTCCTTAGTGTTATTTTTTAATTATAATTAAGTTTAAATTTCAAAGCATTTTATCTTTTGAGGAATTTTGTAATACGTAACAGCTATTACCGCCATTACAGCTATTACATTGCTAAAGAAAGAATATTTCTTCATCAGTAGCACGACAGCACTCGATGTGGCCTGTCCTTCTCCAGAAGTCTTTTCAAGGCATCAATTTATTCTTTAAATCAATATTATTCTTATATCGAAATAAGTTCGATTGATTTGTATTTTATAAAAAAAATTTCTTTATAAATACCTTAGGTTTCATCTGCAAAATTAGACTTCAAGGCTAAAGCTGCATCAAGAGTGGGTTCTTTAGAAAATGCCAAGCACAAACCAGGTGGGGGTAATGTGGTAATCAAGAGTGAGAAACTTCTTTTTAAAGAAAAAGCAGCTCCTAAAATTGGTTCTAGATCGAGCACAGGAGGTAGCAGTCATGGAGGATCAGAAGTTGGGGTAAACTTAATTCATTTTATTCTATTTATATCGAAAACAAAATTGAAACAATTATACTAAAATCTCCAGCTGATATGCCATTATAAAAGCTTATTACCAAAAAAATAAAGAGACTTACAACTTTTCTGTAGTTTTCTAAAAAAATTTTAGAATTAAAATTCGTCTAAATTGCAATTTCAGAATTCTAACATATCAATTTTTATGGATAACTTTTAAAAAAATGACATTTAACTGCATGGATTAATTTATTCATCTTCTACATTTTATTTCATATTTAATAACCATCATTGAACAGCTGACCCAATTTTTGGGTTTACGACTATTAATGTTCAACTACGTAGCCTCGTAATTTGGAACCCAATTTAGAAGACAAGGGAACACCTGGATCAAATATTGGGAGAAATTTGCCTTCCTGGAGGACTTTTTTATGGAACTAACCGGCATTTGCATTACTTGGAGAGGAAGACCATAAGAACCTCCAACGGTTAGCCCGTCGGCAAGGGGACTCTGAACCATGATCCATCTTCCACTGAGAATATTTCACGTCAGCACTGTGGTCGATGCATTATTCATTTATAGTAAAAATATTGAAAGTTTGTCTGCTTCTACTAGAGAATAGTTTGTGCTCAAGTCTTGAAATTTGGATATAAGTTGCAAGTTCAGCCCACAATCCTAAAACTCATTTTTAAAAAAAATTTATTTGTTCTTTCGGGAGCAACTTTTGATAAATGAATTTTTCTCATGTATTAATATTATTGCGTGTAATCTACAAACATCTCAGTTAAGTGTGCATATTAGTAACGCTATTTAAGTGTAGCAGATATACATGTATATCCACATATTCTGGTAAGTGCAACAGTTAACCATGTATATTGATAATATTTTGATTAAGTGTATCACAGTTAATCAAAACTAAACTTAACAGTATGAATATGATCTGAATCAAACAATCTACATGAATAAATACACTCACAGCGCTGGTGGGACAGCAGGGGGTAGCAAGTTTGATCCTGACAGCCGAAAAACAACTGGCGTGCATACACAGCAAGGTACAGATTAAATCTGTTCTGGATGAAAGTTCTCTCATTGCTTGTGGTGTGAAAGTTTGGAGAGAGAAGTAACAGTTCTAGAAGAGTCCACATAGTCTGATCAGGGTCAAAATTACATAGCATTTCTCATATAGCCATTAAAAAATAAAGTCCTAAACATGTGGCTAGGTACTTGATCATGGTAGGCTGATATGTGAACAAATATGTTTTTGTTTTTCTTTTTTATATTATATAAGTGTAGTTCCTCGTATAATTATTTATTTGTTTTTTTTTACAATTTTAGAGTCCGCCCCAAGCATGCTCACCAGCCCCTCCTGAAAACATGCCACCTTTAAATGAGGACGAATCCATAACAGAAAAGGGAAACGGAGGTCAAACTCCTAGCAATGTAGATACAGAACAAGCAGCACAAATTTCCCCACCTGAAAATGTTAGCACAAATTTAGCACAAAAGTTTCCTCCCGTCGGGGAACAAAATGACTGTTGATAGGACTGAACCATTTTTATGAGTATTACGTTATGTGATTTGGTTTTATTGAAAGTACGCCTGAATGTGAAGCAGTGGCAAATATGAAAAGTATTATTCATTCTTATTATCTTCTGATACATTTTAAACATTAAGTTGTTTAACCTCTACAAAGCTTTGACTGTTTAGCTCTCATTGTATTTTATTGCAATTACTTTTTTTTATTATTATTATAAAATGTATTTACAACAATACATTTCCATTAATTCATTGCTATTTACTGTCACTTTCACTGTTGTTTGGAGCAAATGATGTATCTGCTTTTTAAAATATAGCTAGAAATAAAAGAAAATCAATTTGACTCAGTAGGTGTTTCAAAAAAAAAAAAATTGTTTATATTGACATGAAACACATATCCTTATGTTTTTACTTTGAGGACTTTATGTATTGAAAAACATTAATAAAAATAAAATCCAAATAAAAACACTTCATAAACAATGAGAATTTTATTGTTGTACCTACCACATTACATGCCTTTGTGATACATGATTTAATATTAAATTATTTATAACACTTTTCTTTTTTAATTATCTGATCACTTTCTCTTAAAAACTAAATTTGTCAGAGTATCAAAGAATTTTTAAGTTTGTTGATAATTTGTTTTAAAAAATCATAGAGTGACAGTTTTAATGTTGAACAAGTTTCCTGTGCATATAGTAATACAGAACTAATTGCATGTATTAGTGCAAAAAAAATAATTGTTTTTAAAGCATTTAAGACATTATAGAAGAATGTTGAAAAAATTTTCTAGTATTTTTTTACATTTAAAAACTTAGTAAATGTTAATTATTAAATTTTCAATATATTAATTATATGGAAGAAAATGGATGCTATCAGATGCAACACTAACATTTATCATTTTTTTATAAACAGTGACTGATATTTAAATACACTATTCACCCTAAGCGTTTTCAAAAGGGTGGCCGGCCTTCCCTTTGATCTCTATAAATGATCCTTAACCCCTTTTGTAAACGTAAGCCGCCATCAATTAAAAACCTTGCCTCTTCTTTTTTTTCAGGAAAAGGTTTTCTTAACAACCTCTTTTAATGTTAAGTAGACTTCTGAGTTATTTTGGTACTGATAATTATTTAACTTTAATTTTTTAATTTCATTCCTTCATTTTAGTAAGATTTTTATGTTGTCTAGCTAATATAGTTAAAATTTGCATACTATTCGGCCCAGAGATATCACATCTTTTATTTGAGGGAGGGATATATTAATGATTTTAAATTTCACCATTATTTCCTTAAATAAATACCTTTTAATTATCTATAAATGTTTATTTCCCCATAATTTTCAGTTTAAAATATTAAAAAAAAGCTTTTAAGTTGCTTATCAATTAATCCTTTTTTTCAGTTTACTTTCTTCGAAGAAAATTCATACACAAACATCGTCTTTCGAGATTGCCTTATTTATTTACTTTTTTCAAAGGCTACAAATTTCTTGGTAATTTTGATAATGAGCGAGAATTACTTTGTGAAATATACACATAAAATAGTTTAAGAGGATTATTTAAAAATTGAGGACCAAATTCAGCTATTACATAATATTAAACACTTTTGATAAATTTTAAGGTTGGTAAATGAGTGCCTTTTTAAAACTCCCAGGTGCCTTTTTTTTGTGAGGAAGCATCCTTCCCTTTTTAATTCCTAGGGAGAATTCTGTTAAATAATATCTATCAACTATTATGTTTAAGTAAGTGTTTCATATGTAGCACATTTTTTATATATTATTTCCTATTTATTTGCTCTACAAGAACATTCCTCCATGAAAATAATTAGCTCAGAATTAATCTAAAATTCTGAAGACTAATATAAACTTATTTTTAAGAGCACAGTAAAGAACCGATTATCGGAATGCCAATTTACCGGATCGTCCATAGACTTCCTCAAGATTCTTTTTTGCCAAAAAGCTTTTATATTTTATGAGTATCTAAAAGGGGTCAAAAAATGGCTTCTTTTGTCCCTTAGTATTCTTGAAAAGAACTTCCAACCCCATTTTCAATGTAGGTAGCAAGTAGTTACTAATAAAATTTTAAAAAATAACAAAAATTTGAACATGCTATTCATGCTATAATAGGCATTACTACAATTCCCAATACTAAGCCTTGAAAAAGTGTAAAAGGAAGCTACCTAATAACATTCTCATAGCCATTTTTAAAAGTAGTTCAATTATACAGATGTTTCATAATACGCAACAGCTTTAGACCCGATTTGTCCAGATATTTTTATCATTTTCTAAATTTTTAGTAAGAAGCAGAACTGCAATTTCATAATTTATAAATTTTATTTTTTGGGGGCAATCCTGAAAGAAAAAATTTTACTACTACTCATATATTATTCAATATAAAATATATAAATTAAAATTTAAATTTATTTTACTCTTTTTTTTTAAATTTATGATGTGATGACACTCACAAACAGTGTATGAAATAAAATTTATAAAGAAAAAAGTCCTATTATTGGTCGTTATACATGTATCAACACTTGACATTAAATCAGTCTTTAAAATTATAAGTTATTTTTGCAGCTGTAAAATTTCAGTGCTACTACTTACAACATAAAGCAGTTCAAAATACTAGAATAGAATATGATAAACAAAAAAAGACTAAAAACTCATACTTCAAAGAACAAATATGTATTTTTATCACTATCTATAAAATACAATCAGCATTAACTGCATATGTATAAGTAAAAATAATTTATAAAGACTTTATACAAAATATTTTATACACAGACAAATTTCAAAATGACATCAAAGGAAAAAGTCATTACATTTTTTATATCATTTAAACAAGTTCTTTAATTGGCAGCCAACAGCTGAGGTTGTCTAACACCTTCTAATTTCTCAAAATGCTTTCGCGCATTTTTAATATTAAGTAGAGTTATAGCAGGTGCTAAATTAGAGAGAAAAGAAATAATTTAAGTATGACATGAATTATCATATCTCAATGGCAAGTGAAAGCTGCTTTAAAATAAACAAGAACAATAAATACAACAAAATAATTTTACAATTTAAAATAAGAAACAATGATTTAGCATCCATTGCATTGCTAAATACATTAATTTAGCATTGGTTTAAATTTCTCCATAAATTATAAAACTCTAAAAATGTTTCATATTAACAAAATTATTTAAATAATATAATTATAGATCTGAACTAACCAAATTTTTTATGACAATAGAGAACTGCTTTAGTTTCTAAGGTTATTTAAACAGATATACGACTAAGCAAAATGATTCATGTTCATAAAGTGATTCTGGAAGTATAGGTAACACGCCATTTAATGGACAATTTAAAAGAATCAATAATTCTTTTATTTTTCCAAAATTTAAATTACAATAAATAAAAAAATTAATAAACAATTTAAGTTAGTCGGAAATAATTTCAAGAAGTGGGAGGAAAAGAGGATAAATAAAAATTAATTAATATAAGAATTTCAAGAACCTATAATGATAAAAACTAGGTAAAAAAAAATCAAACTATGCAATATTTTTTACAAAAGAAAAGGAAAAAAATTTATAAAATTTATACAAAATTGTACTTTAAATAGAAAAAAATGCATTATAAAACAATGACAAAAAAAAATCAGCAATTTACTGCACATTTCAGTACTTATATTAGAATAATAATTGCATAAATTCCAACTTACTTATATTTGGATCAGAAATAACAACCATCACATAAGTATTGGGAGTAAAGACATCAATATAGGCTGAGAAATTGCCATTTGATAGTTGCATACTTTCAAATTGGGCAGCAATTTTACTACAACTTAACTTGAACTGTTTAATAATGTTTGAGACTTTTTCAAATCTATGGACATCCCTATGCTCTTTACGTTCAGCTCTAGCAATAACCTAAAATAATGATACACAAATAAACACATAAAAGATGGGTAACATTGATTAATTATTTATTTATTAATGTTATACAAATTACAATAAAATGAAATAAATAGTGAATGTTTTTAGATGAAAAAGCCAATTAAATACCACTTGTAACATGTTTACTTGATACGAGTAATTTCATATAGAAGGTTTCTTCTCCTCTTATCTAGGAAATCAGATTCCATAAATTTTATAAAATTTGTCAATAATTCTTTCAATAATTTGACATTGACTGCAGAATAAGTTTAAAGTGGAACCTATAAGCATTTTAATATCATTATAACTACCTGTAAAATGTGTGTTGAGAGAAGCTTGTGTACATTTTTTGCCCATTAGCTTGATAGATAAATGGTTTAAAAAAAAAAAAAAAGCTCCCTAAAAGAATTATAAAACCAAAAAAAAAAAACTTTCAACTTTAACTTTTCACAAGGTCAATTTAGTCTTGTGGAATCTGTTGAAGGAAATTAATCTGGTGCAATGATATGCAAGGGGAGATATTTTTGATTTCACGCATTGAAAATCGGAAAGCTCCTAAAAATAATCGGACTCCTAAGAATAATAGAACAGGATTTTTTTCCTAAGAAAATAGGATTTTTTTTTCTTCCTCACTTCAAAATACGAACGGTTTCAAACTAAATAGAATAAGAACTATAAAAAAAAAGTGTTAGAAAAACTGTAAGAAATATTAGAAAAACTGTAAAACTGAAAAAATGCTTAAAATATCAGAGCAAGGACCTACATTTAAAAACAAACTTTAAAAGTTGCTGGAGAATTCAAATTTAATAATGCTGAAAATTATGAAAAATGAAAAAAAGGGGGATAGAAATTTTAGTAAAAACATTTTTGTTTTGTTTTTCTTTATATAAATTATGTCATACTAAAAATAATAAATCAAAATTGTACACAATTGATTCTATTTTTGCAATCTTATATTTCATCCATATAAATTTGTCTTTTCTTATGAAATTGGTTTCTGAAATTTATAATGTTAAATATGTTTTTACAATTGTCGTATTCCACTCCTCAAAAATGAATTTCACTCGATCAAGTGCTAGAGTATATTCAATCCATGAAAAAAATTCCAGCTATATCTCTACATATAAGTTCTATGCTTTATCAGATTTAAATCAAATGCAAATTAAATAAAACATGCATGCAAAGTAATACTTTAAGCATTTCATTTACTGGTACTTTCGTTATTTTATTCATTTTTTTTATAATTATTAACTTTCTCTGTATTTTATTCTTATGAACTGCACAGTAGAGATTTAATTAATTTTTAAATGCAATCTCAACTTAATTAGCATTGGTTTAATTGAACACTTCTAATATTACTTATTTTTGCTCACCAAGTCTTTGAAATACAGGTATTAATGATAGGTATTAATAATTAGGGTTTTACACATATTTGCTTCCTGTTTACAAATTAATGATTTCTAAATACTATAAATTTTAAATCAAATTTCTAAACAAAATGTCTACCATTCATATTTGCAAAATCTTACATATACACCATATTGATATATACCGGTGAATAAGTTGACCCCCTATTTTGATTATGAGATAGCAATATTAGTTGACTGCTGAAAAATTGAAAAATATAAAACAATCTAAAATAAATTTTAAAAAATGAATGAATAAATAAAAAATAAATATAAGTTATTAAGTCAACGAATTTTAAGTTTAAAAAATTTTACATTGATCTCTCTGGAATCTTACCTTACCTTTTTTGTTAATTTTTTTCTTCTGCACTTAATTTAATATATTGTTTCCAAAAAATAAAAAAATTCCTTTCTATGTAAAGAAAATATTATGAAAGAAAATGTTAAATTAATTGTATATAACATATTAAAAAATAGTTTTTGAAAGAGATAAGTTGATACAGAGTTATTCATATCCATCCCATTGTTTATAATGTATTGATATTTCATGAGCAATGATCGTCCAATTTTATTACTGCTGTATTTGTTGATATTCAGATAATTTTAAAAGTCAACGGATACACTGGGATATAAGATTTTTCAATTGTTTGTTTTTAAAATCAAAAAAGCATTTCCTAGTTAATTGAGCTATAAAAAATTAGTTTGTTGTTAACCTTAAACAAGATAATATTAAGAGTTTTTCCTGCATTAGAACTTTAGAAAGAGAATGAAGTGAGTAAAAATGAACAATAAATTTTCAACAATATGATAATGAAACAATGACACCGAGTGGCTGAGTGGTAGAGCCTTGCGCTGATGTGTCACAGGCCCTTGGTTCGATCTTCGGGCTGGGCAAGGGTGACTCAGTCTTCCGTCCCTTCAGTGGGTCAATAAAATTAGTATCAAGCATGCTTGGGAACTAAACACTGGGGATTTCGCATTGGGCTGACCACTAAACTGAAATATCTGCTCTTGCACCCTAGAGCCCAAAGGCCAAGAAAACTGAGATGGCACAGTAGGCCTTGGCCGTCTATGGGCTATCGAGCCACTGAGTTTAGTTTATAAAAAAACAATAATTAATAATAAAAAATTACTACACATGAGTTATTTTTATTCCCTTTTTTATTTTACTATTTTGAAAGATTAATTTATAAATTATTTTTACTTTTATATGTGATTGTAAAGTTCAGATTGCTCAGTTCATTTTAACAACTACCCAAAGATTTCTCAGAACTCATACGAGTACATAATTCTTTTTAAAATTAACTTCATAGAGATGATCATTTTGAATCATAAATATTCATTAGTGTTCCCTAATTTTTTTTTGCACTATTAATAATGTAGCAATACTACCACATTACATTTAGAAACTAACCAATCAAAATATATTTTTATGCACTCACAAGAAATGTTGCCCTTTCAAACAATAATACTTCATCAGCTTCAATAATATCAGCAAATTGTTTCAGATTCGCTTGAAGTTGTTGAACATTAGGAATAAGTTTATAAACAATCGATGACCAAGCCTAGGAAGAAAAAAAAAATATTATGAAAACAAAACAATATTAGTACTAGTGATTGGCATAAATGAATGTCTTCATAAAGATCTATAAGTCATTACAATCCAAGCATGTCTCTCTTTAGTAGTAAAAGTTGTAAATATAATTAGTAATGAATATGGATACATGAATGTAAACAAATGAATAAAGCACAGTCAATATTTGCAAATTTTTTAAGAAGAAATAAAGAAATACAATCAATGTTGTATATATTTTACTTAAAAATCGTCTTTTGAAATTTTAACACTTCAACAGATTCATGTCACCTAATATTTATATACTTATTATTGTTCATAAAGAACTTTTTAAAAAAAATATTTACCTTGGATTTTTGTAGTGCAACACAGTGTTGCAATTTCTTTCATCATGCATAAATTAATATATTTAACAGGGTTCATAGCTTAATCTTTCAACAAAAAATAAGCACCTTTTAAGTACTTTTTAAGCACTATGTACATTAGCAAAATGCAAAATAATTTTCTAAGACTTTACATGATCATGATAAAATAACTAGTTCCTGATAAAGAACTCTTTTCTTGATTATATTAGCCATTATAAAATTATCAAAAGATTTTTGGTTTGATACCTAAGGGTGGAAAATGAAGCCTGAAATTGAGAGTATCTTGCAAAATGTAGCAGAGTTGCACATAAGAGTGCAATGATCTCACCGAAGTCAGTTCCCTGCACACGCAGATTTGCAAGTATTTAATCAAACATGTAAAATGATTGCCGCTTTCATACTCTATGGACCGACAATATGCCAAATGGATTGTTGTTTAATGAATTGTGAAAATGTTGGATAGTACAATGTAAAAAGCACGCTTTTGCATAATATGTGTCAAAAATCGACATGGTAAAGAAAAAAATCTCCTTTTCGAAAAGGGAAAATTAAGCTCTTTTTAAAAACACCCAATGAAAAAAGTACTTTTAAGGGCTTTCAAAAAATGAAAATAGGCACTTTCAAGCACATTTTAAAAATGCTATGCACCATGTTTAAAAACTTGAATGGTTTGTAATGGTAAAAAATACACAAATTTTTTAGACTGACATTCTTACACATAGGGAGGATGTAACATTCCTTTGATAAAAGATATTGATTATGCCATCTACAGACATTACTCATCAAATTCGTACATTGTGTTTAAATTTGTTTTTGGTTACTTCTGTCTAGGTGATCGTGCAGTCGAATACAAACAGATTAGAATTCGCTCTTATTTTTAAATTAAAAACGATCATAGTAGCTAAATTTTTGTTAAACTATTTTGACATTGATATTATATAACAATTAGGATGGATTTAAATAGATTTATCCTTCTTGCAGACATTGTAGACTTTGATTAAGTAACTTCTTTATATTTATCCTGCATGCACAACATCATATTTCTCATAAAATATATGTTTAAGTCATTGTGAGTTCCTGAAATATTGATTTATGTAAAGTTATCAATGGCCTCCAGCGGGTGAAGTTTGCATTCTTCTTATAGTTAGTCAGTTGACCTCATGACATTTTGTTGTCTTCACGCTTTTTTAAAAGCATGTTGTGAGTCAACAAATTTATTTACAGTAGGTGTATGCCAAGACATAAAAATAAGTTTTGAAGCAAATGAAAAGTTAAGTACAAATTTTCATGCTTGGTCTACAAAATCTGGCCAAAACTAGAAAATATTAATTAATATACTAAAGAGTAATGAAGGTTTAAAGAATAAAATTACAATAAATAATATCAATTCATTTTAGAATCGTTAATTTTGTATCATTGTTACTTAAATTCTTTAAATTTTAAAAAATTATATTGATGTAGTAAAATAACTCAAAGTAATAAAAACTGATTATATATTTTCTCAGTAATTGCTGATTTGACATCACATTCTAAGAAATATTCAGAATATGTTAAGAAATATTGGTAATTAACACGTTCATAGCTGATCTCACTCAAATGTGGGATACTACTCAAAGGTGCACTGGTGTGAGATTGGCAGCAAACACATCTTATATATATATATATATATATATAGCACATACAGAATGAATAGAATTGCATTAGTAGAATAATTACATATTTAGTATACTTGCATCTGATTAATAACTTCATCAAAAAGAAGAATTTCAATATCCTTAATAATCAAATCAGAGCAAAAAGTTAGAGAAATGATTTTTTTTTTAAAAAATATCTATACTATTTAAAAAAAAAAACAATTTTATTGATTGAACATTTCAGAGAAGTGATATGATAAACAGAAAATCATATTACAGTTATTTACCTCATAAAGAGTTTCATCCCATATAGATGTGCGAAAACAAATACATTCTAATGGCCGTGACAGACGAGCAAGATCATTCTCTCGTTCTCTAAAAATCTGAAAATGTGTTTATTCAATTTCATTAATTTTTAAATAAATATAATATGAAAAATAACAAAAATTCTGTTCTTATTTAGAAGTAATAATGAAACAAAATTTGAGAAAGACAATTTGGAATAATATGTCAGAAAGAACGAAGCAGAACTAGTAAAAAACTGGCAGATGCAAAATCATTTGACTTTCTAGACATTATTGCAATCCAAGCCAGCTCAATATTTGAAAATTATTTCTTCCCAAACTCACTTAAGCACACTTCTTCTCTTTTAAGAATAGTCTTAAATTTCTATTCATACACTGAAAGGCTTTTGATAATAAGAGACATTGAAAAATACACCAACAAATTATTACACATTGCTATCTTATTAGCAGTAACAAAATTATCAGTCTAGACTAAGGACTCAAATGCAGGTTGAGACTAGGACCAAGAGACATAACTAATTTAAAAATCTTTTCAACACAAGAAGTTTTAGTAAACTTTGTAATTTCAAATCAATAAAAAAAAGCAAACATTCCTTACAATAAACAAAGGACCAATGTAAAAGAAAAATAATGAAATAATGGCAAGCATTTTTGAAAATTAGTTTGAAGAATAACAGTAAGTGAATGAATTAGTTCACAGTATTGTGGTACCAAACAGCATTCTTACCACATTGTGTACTTTCCCATGCACAATGCAGAAAAATAAGAACATAAAATGATACAAAAGGAAAGTTTTTCACATCATGATTGGGAAGAAAAAAAAGTTTTTATCGTTACTGTTATTCTTTTGTTCAGAAAAAGGGGTAATAAAAAGCAATTTACTATTATTCCGAGTACAATTCAGGAAACAGTATACGTATCTCACTACTTATCTTACTACTTTACATACTCACTACTCTTAAACCAAATTGTTAGATTATGAAATTCAGCAATCTTTTGAGATTGTTGTATTTAATGATAAACAACTTAGAATTAGGATGTTGAAATATTTAATAAAATTTAAAACAATAAAAGTTAGTTTATAGCTATTCCTTTAAAGTTTATTTTACAAAAGTTAGTATCATAATTAACAAAATAAAATAAAATCTACCACATCCCGTTGATCTTCTTGAACTAGATCCATCTTATGAATAAGACAAAAAATTTTGGCTTCAGGAGAACTTTGTAAAATTGCTTCCAAACATGACTGGTAATAATGCATATCCTTTTCTAATTCTCGAGATTCAACATCAAATACATATATAAGCACCTAAAATAAATTAAAAATTATTTAAGTAAATTTGTAAGAATTGTATTTAATAACAATCTTGACAAAGCAAGCTCATTTACTTGATTTAATTATAACATAACAGACATTTGAAAGTAAGAGAGACATTTTTTAAGAATAGTGGGCAGTAAAAATTGGCCTTTTTCTAAGAAAAGCTCACAACAAGCATCTTGCCAATTTGCACCTATTTAAAGCAGAGTCGGCAATTTCTTTGGAAAAAAAATATTTCATTCAGTGCACTAGAAAACAAAAACTGGGCAAATTGGGAAAAATAAATAAAAAAAGTCTTAAAATGACGGATATAATTATTTGACAATAAGTAGTATATAAGCATATCTTAGAAATTAGCTAATTTCTTTTATGATACAAAATAGTTAAATGTTTTTTACATGATTATATAATACAATTTAGTCTGCTTGAGTATTTATAGTTTAGAGTATTTGAAGTAGAGTATATGTTTAGTGAGTTATTTGATAATTTAGTTTAACTAGTCTACACTAATTTAATTTATCAACAAATTCTTTTTCTTCTTCCAAGAAATAAAAATTTATAATGTTTTTGAAAAAACTCTGAAAAGCTCACCTGAGTTTGAAAGAAAAAAAAACCAAATAGGCTGGGTTTTTTTGGCGCGGGGGGGGGACAGGTTTTTTAAATGTTGCCATTAGCACAGTTATAAGAAAGCAAACTATATAAATGTATTAGATACCTCCACATTTCGAAATATATTATCTCTTTGACTGGCAAAATAATTCTCCATGAAAGCTTCCTGTCCACCACAATCCCACAAATTTAACACAAGATTACCCAAGAAACGGACATGAGAGTGTTCAACATCAACTGAAAAATGAAACAGAACATTAAGTATAAAGCTATTAAAATAATTTTAAAAATTTAAATTTCATAAAAACATTTAACTACCACAGGCATAAAAATTTGATTTCATAGATATGGTTTTATAATATGGGTTGTGTCTTTATTTATAGCTTTTTTCTAAAACTAAAATAGAGACACAATATTAATTTAGTACTTAATAAAACTTCAAAAACTTTTCATTAAGCGATTAAAATTTTTTTAACAAGAATTTAGAATTAACTTTGCCTTATATTGATCAATTATTGCATAGTTGCCAACCTTAGGAATCAAAAATTAGGAACACTATATGCGACAAAATTATACGCACCAATTACGAGAGTAAGACAAAAATTTAACTATTAAATAATAACATTAATAGACATATATTTAAATACCTTATGTAAATTAGTAAAACAAAACTATAAACACTATCCTTTGTGGGAAATTTATAATATTAATATTTTATAATTAAGAATACCGGTATAATAGTTTAAAAACAACCATTACCTATTAATATATTATTATTATTCTCCAAATTATAAAACACACGTAAATAATAATCTACATCATAAACAAATATTTCTGATGCAAGTGTTTAAATACTACAATACATTTTTTAAAAAATACTAATAGTTGCTTAAGATTCAATTTAGTGAAATGATCAGCAACAGCTATTGGAATAGTATTTTCCAATAAAAAGCTAGTAAAAAATAAATCTGCACAATAATCACAGTAAGCGCGCTAGCAGCGATCAGAACAAGGGATTGGTTTAAAAGCAAAAATACTGCAATTTTCGAAAATTTGGATTTTTTATAAAAATATAAGATTTTCAGATTTGATTTAAAAATTAGGAACAAATCCGAGAAATTGTGAACAGTTAGCAGCTATGTTATTGGTATTAATTTTAATAATAGCGTTGGGCTCAAAACTTTTTCTTAAATGGAAAGTAGAACACAGTTTACAGCAACTATCTAAAATAATTATCAAAAAATAAATAAAAATTTCAACAAAATATATATAGTGGAAAAAGTAGACAGAAAAAAGATTTATGGTGAAATTATTTAGAATTATTGACAATTGATACAACCTTTTTTAATACAAAATATTAATCAGTCCTCACACAGTTACACAGCTTTTATAACAATATTTTTTATAAAAGAAATATTTTTAAGTAGATTCTACAAAGAATTTTATTCTCCAATTCAGATACTTCAAAAACTTACTTGTTGCTCCTAATCTTCGAGTATCTCTAGCTATATAATTAGCAAATATTATAGAACGCATACTTGTTTTACCGGAGCCACTCTTGCCCATAAGCAGAACCTGAAATTCAAAACTTTATTTTAATCTTTACAATAACAAAAATTTAATTTATAATCTAATTATTATAAACTATAATTATGAAAAAAGTCAACTTTAAAACTGTATATTTCTTTCTGTAAAATTTTAAATTATTTCAAACAAAATAAGACATTGGAATCTTGGCCCTTATATCTAAACAGGAAAAAAAAACATGTTCTACACAAAGCAGGAAGTCCTACTCAGGAAGGAGCGGGTAAGGAGTGAAAAATGTTCCAAGCTAGAGCTTTATATAAATATATATATA